TCTTAGCACTGAAGACTGAAGCAAAGAAGGCATTCAGTAGCTCTGCCTTCTCTGCATCCTCCGTCACCAGGACACCCTCCTCATTCAGCAGCGGCCCCACGTTGTCCCTAGCCTTCCTTTTGCTGCTGATGTAGTTGAAGAAGCCCTTCTTGTTGTTTTTGACATCCCTTGCCAGCTTCAATTCCAGGTGAGCCTTGGCCTTCCACTCACGTGGAACCAAACTGAAGTAAAGAAGGAAACTGAGTCATCAATGTACTGTAGGGTCTGGCTAAGTTGAATACAAAACTAGTTTGTATCCAGATGCAAAATAACAAAACAGTAATGATTTCTTTTCATCAATGATGTATTTTGCTGTTGAGAACTTTCACATTTCTAAGGTACTGTTGTCTTCTTACAAAAAAGGACTTCTCCATTTTCTGTTTGTTTATAAAGTTTTCTGCTGACATGGAGTTTCCTGAACCAGATAAAATGAAGGGATACCATACCATCAGGCATGTCCATGATTTGAAAGTAAATTAAATGAGATGATGATCATAGAAAGAATGTATAGGAAAGTATGTGGGGAGTGCTCAGAGCAAAGGAAGAGTTAGTAAGAAGTTTGAAGGAGCATCACTGCTAATGAACAGGTCATTTGACTAGGAGAAGGAAATCAAGGTAGGCAATGTTAAACAGTGAAAAAGACAACGTTCAGAAAAAAGGGAGGAAATGGTAAATAGGTTTATGTACATGAATGCCAGGAGTTCTCAATTACCCACAGACAAATTGCTGGTCCTGTGGACACAGTGACAGCTCTGGTCTGTAGACGTTTCTTCTAATTGTAGCACAATTGAATGACCACTGCTTCAAAGACCACTTAGCTCCAGAAGTGGTATTACTGTTTTCTTACACTGGAGAGCAGGGCTGTGTAAGTTTTACCAGTTTGTTGGTAACTATACATAGGAACATCTCTGACCTGTGTTTTTTCAGTGGGAATGTAAGATGGAAATACAGCAATGATTTTAGATCAGTTTATAGTTTCAGGTCTCACTTGGTCTAAACACCTGGTTATGCTCCTGCTCCACCTCTGAGATGGGGTTTAGTATGTCATAAACACAGGGGAGCAAACCAGGTCTGCTATAACACCTAAATAATCATCTTCTCCCAGTGCACTGGAGAGAAGTAGCAAAGGCATTCAGGTGTTTCTGCAAGATGCGGGATTAATGGGTTAATGTGACTGGTGATCACTTTTAACTGTTAATCACAGAAACACAGAATCACAGAATGGTAGGGGCTGGAAGGGACCTCTGTGGGTCATCTAGTCCAACCCTCCTGCCGAAGCAGAGTCACCTACAGCAGGCTGCACAGGACCTTGTCCAGGCTGGTCTTGAATATCTCCAGAGAAGGAGACTCCACCACCTCCCTGGGCAGCCTGTTCCAGTGCTCCATCACCCTCAGAGGGAAGAAGTTCTTCCTCATGTTCAGACGGAACTTCCTGTGCTTCAGTTTGTGCCCATTGCCCCTTGTCCTGTCACTGGGCACCACTGAAAAGAGTTTGCCCCCATCCTCCTGACACCTACCCTTCAGATATTTCTAGGCATATATTAGGTCCCCTCGCGGCCTTCTCTTCTTCAGGCTGAACAAGCCCAGCTCTCTCAGCCTCTGCTCGTAGGAGAGATGCTCCAGTCCCCTCACCATCCTCGTAGCCTTCCACTGGACACTCTTCAGCAGCTCCTCATCTTTCTTGAACTGGGGAACTTAAGGCCCGCTGTAGCTGAGCTAATCCTTGCAAAACCGTTGAGGTGTCTTTGCTACCATGCTCCCCTGAACCAAAGGTCTGAGGACCATCTGGGTCAGTCTCCCATGTAACACAGCCTGCTAGGTCTTCAGGGGGTTGACTGTTAAAGAACTTATTAAAAAGTAATAGCAGAATAAGCGATTTCACAGTCAGGTGAGGAGCTGTTAAGTGAAGAGCTGATGTAGATTGAAACCGCATATGGATTGAGGTTTTGACTTTCTGTTTGGTTCCTGACCTTTGTCACAGGCTACAGCCATGTGACTTTGGGCAAATGAATTGGTCTCTCTACGCTTCATTTGCTTTTCTGTAAAATAAAGGTGTCGTGTTCTGATACCCTAAGGATTTGAGGTGGTGTGTTCCTCTTGAGAGGACAGACTCTTAAACTTCTGATTTCAACTTTTTTATTCATCTGATGGCAAGAAATAAGACAGAAACTTAGCAACTGCAGAGGCAATGTCAGAGAAGGGGACACAGATTTGAACGATAAGAGAAAAGGCGGTTGTTAAATGACCTGATGTGCTTGAGAGACATGTTGAGCTCTAGAGACAGAGTGTGAACAAGAAAGAGACAAGAGGAGATGGAGTAATTTATATCTAGGAATCATAGGGTGTGGGAAAGGGTGTGGTACAAGGTGGCTTCTGATATATCTACATAAGTAAGAAAAATTTTAAGTGAAGGTAATGACAGATGTGGATTTTAAGGGGAAATAGTGGTGGTGAAAATGGATGGATAGATCATTGGAGATGTTGGCAGCAGAAGAGATGCTTTTTGAATAAGTGTAAACAACTGAAAGTATGTGATCTTTCAACCAACCTGAAAATTAGATTGTACTTATTTTACAATTTAGGTTTTTACTTCTATGTATAAAACTAAGTGGTTCACCATTGTGAAATGGTTATGATAAGCCAAACTGTGTATTCTTGTGCAATTTAAAAATAATTTGCCATGAAACTACTGAACTGTTTTAAAACTGAATTCTGAAATTCCAGGCATTTGAAGATATTCACCTGCAGGGGAGAAAAAATGTGAAAATGGTCCTAGACTATGCTGATAAAGTATTTACCTACATCTTTTTTATGGAGATGCTTCTGAAATGGGTAGCTTATGGTTTGCACAGTTATTTCACAAATGTCTGGTGTTGGCTTGACTTCATCATTGTATGTGTAAGTATTATATTCAGCTTGTCTTACATTTTGATTTTTTGATATTTTCTATACAAAGAACTACATGTAAAGTGTGATTATGAATAAACACAAGTGTAAAAGAGAGTTTCCAAAAGCTGAGAAAAATTGCAATCTAAAGAGACTTTAGGACAAATTTAAACGGAAATTGCAAGTAGTAATCAGAAGTCGCTTAAGAAAAATTTACTAAGTATCACTGTTATTGAGGGCCATGTTGGTTATAAAAACCTTTTAGAATGTAGAGAGAAAGTGCAAGTAGTGATCAGAAATAAAACTGAAATAAATTAAGATGACAGAAAGATGTGAAGCTGCTGGCAGCTCTAGCATTTAGAAACACAAAAAAGTAGAGTTGCTTCCTTAAAGGAGAAGAAATTAAGGTGGTAAAGGGAGTTGAAAAGTATTGTTGGAAAAATCATTTACCAGAGAGTACAAGATGTAAGAAAGAATGTTTTGCTTTGCAGCTAAAGAAATCCGAGCAATCCTTTACATAGTGATAAAGAGAAATGCTGAAATCATCAATAGTGAGATGGAGGAAGTACAGTGTTCAATATATACATTTTTATTCTGAATTCAGGCAAAGTTAAATAATATAATCTTGCCATATAAAAATGAAATGTTTTTGCTTGTCAACAGTACAGTGGGAAGATACTGAAGTTAAATATTTTAAAATAAAAACAACTAAACAGCTGAATTCCAGTAGCATCAAAGTAGCTGTTTGACAGCCTATGAATAATTAGCATTGAAAGTTGTTAAGTGCTAGAAAATTACAACAGAAAAATCTAATATTAGGACTATTTACAAAAAATATATAGCATGACTTTAGTGATTACAGTTCTGTGATATTAATAGCAGTGCTTTCCAAAACAGAGGATATGCATGAAAATATTTAATGGCTTGACAGTGAGACAGCAAATTCTAATAGGAAGGAAGGGGCAAATCAGTGAAAAAAGTGAAAAAAACCTTAATTATTGAAACAATTTTCTAATATTTTCACTTCATAGTCTGTCTTACAAAATTTTGAAATGAAGACTGGATACCTTTTTAAAAATAATTTTTTGTTTCTACATCACCATCTTAAGTTATGATAAGGGATTACTATACACACTTCTGAGAAGAACGATCCAGAAAATGGGAATATCTAATTTGAATAATCCCTTCTGTTCTTGTAGTATATGAAATTACCATAGTTACCAATTTGGTTGTTATACTAGAATCCCCCCAAAATTTTACGAACTTTTTTTGGAAAAAAAAAAAAGAAAAAAGAAAAAAAAGTGTTTCAAATTAAGGTGAAAGAATTGCATTATTTTTAAAATATCAGGAAAGAACGAAGTAAAATTGTCTTATGGTAAGTTTGAATGTGTGTTTTCTTCATTTGACTTACTGGTCAAAGATACTGTAACATTCAGCCTATGACTGTCTACTGACACAAATAAATAATTTTTTGTATACCATTTAATAATCTCCGTTTCAAATCAATGAACACAGCTGTCATTTGCTTCCTGGGGACTGAGTATGGTTTCTAAAGACACATCACCTTGTTCATCTGGGAGTGCCCTGAAATCTCTCAGGACTCTTAGAGCGTTGAGGCCTCTACGAGCTTTGTCAAGATTTGAAGGGATAAAGGTAAGGGTATTGGGAGTGTGTGTGCGTATTTTGTAATAGCTGCATGTGAAGTTTTTGTGAAAATTACAACTTGAATCTCTATGTGGGACTGGATGGCATTAAGATGGTTCAGATTGTCTACTTATATCTTATGGTTGTTATTTTGAAATAATACCTAATACTTTCACAGAAATTTATAAATACAAATGAAATAAGGCAATTGAATTGTACTATGCTACCACAAGGAATTATTACATATAGTAATGTGTACATTTGAACAGTTTCCCATGTTTCCAGTTTCAGTGCAATGTGCGAAACAAACTAAACAAGAATTTTTTTTGACAAGTACTTTCCTGAAAGCCATTCTTTGAATTTACGAAGAGCAATTTTTGCCTCTCAAACCTCAATGTCTTCTGTGATGAGATGGCAGAGGGAAGGAAGAGCCATCCATGGTCTCAGATGTTGATTGTATCTGGTTTGGATAGGTGAGCTATAAGCAAGGCAGAAAATTGGCTGGACTGCCAGGTTCAATGTGCAGAGATCATCAGGATGAAGTACAACTGGCAGCTGAATACTAGGGGCTCAGCGGTCAGACCTGGGACCAACACTGCTTAACAGCTTAATTAACAACCAGAAGAATGTGGCAGAAATTGTCCTTATCAAGTTCATGGATGATACCAAATTGGGGACGAGCAGTTAATGCGCTGGGGGCAAGGCTGCTCTGCAGTGAGAGCTTGACCGACTGGAGATATGGGCTGCAGAAACATCAGACAGTACAGCAATAGCAAATGCAAAGGCTTGCACCTGAGCCAGAATAACCACACATAACCGTGGCACACTGCAGAAAAGGACCTGGCGTGGACAGCGTGTTAAACCCAAGTCAGCAGAGAACAAAGAACACTTGAACACTGCCAGGGAGGGGGTAGCCACAACTTCCCCAGGCAACCTGTTCCAGTGCCTCACCACCCTCAGAGTAAAGAATTTCTTCCTTATAGCTGGTCTAAACCTACCCTCTTTCAGTTTAAAGCCATTACCTCTTGTCCTATGACTCCATGCCCTTGTAAAAGTCCCTCTCCAGCTTTTTTGCAGGCCCCCTCAGGTACTGGAAGGCTGCTGTAAGGTCTCCCCGCAGCCTTCTCTTCTCCAGGCTGAATAGCCCCAACTCTCTCAGCCTTTCCTCACAGCACAGGGATTCCAGCCCTCTGACCATTACTGTGGCCTCCTCTGGCCCCGCTCCAACAGGTCCAGGTCTGTCCTGTGCTGAGGGCTCCGGAGCTGGACACAGGACTCCAGGAGAATGGAGCAGGGGGGCAGAATCACCCCTGGATAACAGTTCTCAAACTGGAAACAAGCGTGGTCCTGCCTATCAGCATCAATGTGCCGGATTCACAAATACAAATTTTTGTCACTGCTTGCATCAGGTCCCTTGACATCACCAGCACAGACACCAAAATCTTGAATCCCATTTTCACTGGTACTTTTGCTGGAAGAGGCTTACTGCTCATCATGGGCTGGCATTCACGTTGTCCTCAAGCAAGCGTAAATGAAGGGAGAGTGCTGACCAAAACAACTCAGTCTTCTGGAAGTCAAACTTCTCTTCTTCATGTGCTGTGTGCAGTCAGATGCCAGTGGTTATGGGGTGAGGTTCATTTTGTTATGGAGAGCAAGCTGTCGTTCTCTCACAAAACCCCTCGAAGATAGAAGATGGGGTTATTTATGATATTGTAGAAAATGCAGATCATACAACTTATTCCCCTATACCTGATTTTTGGATCTCATAGCTACTACAGATGGATAATCTTATTTTATGTCTTTCTTTTACCCAAGGATAATTCTGGTTGCCATCTATTTTACTTCCTTCCTCAAAAGGCAAGACAGATACCACAGAGTTATGTAAGACAAGCTTGAAGGTGGGCTGAATCACAGAATCACAGAATCATAGAATCACAGAATGGTAGGGGTTGGAAGGGACCTCTGTGGGTCATCTAGTCCAGCCCTGGACTGCTGACTTTGAGTTTGTCATCTGCTAGTTTTTATATGGGTGAGAATCTGCAGTAGGTACAGAAGAAGAAAAAATAAGTGCTTTTTATAGGAAGGCGTTCTACTGAATGTGAATAATTCATTCTTTTAATTTGTTTTATTTAAGGTTGTTGTGAATGCACTCTTGGGAGCTATCCCCTCAATCGTGAATGTTTTGCTCGTCTGTGTTGTCTTCTGGCTGCTGTTTAACATAGCAGGAGTAAAATTGCTTGGAGAAAAATTTTGGAAATGTACACTTGAGAAAGGAAATTTAAGTCTAATTGAAAACAAAAGTGATTGTATTTTCTATGGTGGAACATGGACAAATAGTGATGTGAACTTTGATCATGTTGGGATGGGGTACTTGGCTCTTCTCCAAGTGGTAAGTTCTATAAAATCATGCTCAGTTTTGTTTTCTTCAAGGAAATGTGTTGAGCAGCCCAGCCATGGGGCACCACTACGCTTCTGTTTATCTCCCTGAATTTAGGAATTTTCTTAGCTTCCATAAATATTCTCCTTATCTATCGGCTGCTCAGTTCCTCCTAAAGAACACTTTAGCATATGCAACCTTGTGTTAAAATCAAGCACCGTGTTTCGTGGCTTGTCCATTTTGTTTTAATTTTGATTAACATACTAAGGCTGAAATAGTCTGCATGTTACCAGATTTAAAGGTTTTTTTGAACACTTTTCCACAACTCTTAACACATTTATATTAGCTTCACCTATTTTTAAAATTATTTTTTATTTTAGTGATAATAACCTTAATAGTGGATTTTTTTCAGGCAACTTTTAAAGGTTGGATGGATATTATGTATGCAGCAGTGGATTCACGAGAGGCAAGTCACTAAAATTAATTTTTAGTTCTTTTCCCTTTCCTTCTTTCCTTTTCTATCCGTACAATTAATTTTTTGGCTCTGTTTGCAATATCATGTCAGAAATACAAGCGGATGAGTGCTTCAGACTGTACAGTGAAACAATAATCCTCGAAGTACCAAATATCTGGAACTTAGACAAAAGAAAACTGGTCAAAATAGTGTGATGCCACACAAACCCCTACTGTATCAAGAATGCAGAGGGCAAAATGTTGCACGTTTTCGACAAGTCTGTTTTGGAAACAGAGTTCAGAAGGTCTGGGAGGGACTGTGCCTCTGAAGCAAATTTCCTTCTTTTTTAAAAGTGTACAGTAGTATTTAAATAGCATGCATCTTTAGCAGTTATTGCTGGAGGTTTGCTTCCCTATATTTAACGTCCTTACTATTTCTTCCCCATTTCCATGTGTTGTTTCTTGCTTTCTCACTAGTACAGTGTGTTTCAACTTTTATATGTTTAATTTTAATTTGCATTTTCCATTTTCATTCAAGTGCTGTACTCTTGAATGTCATGAAATAGCTACTAATTAAAAAGATCGTTCCTTGTAGGACTGACCATAGTGAGCTGGCTTTTTAAAACTGCTTTTGTCTGGGATAGCATTCAAGGGGATGGGGGTTCACCACTGTGTTTAGTCTGAGCTGTTTTTCTGATCTATGCATTCACAGTATCACTGCTGACTGGAAAAGTTTATCGATTTTGTAAGAATTTGCTAGAGCTGGATTTATCTATAGATCTTTGTAATTATCTTTACAAACAGTAACAATACAGAACAAGACAGTTCTACTTGTACGTCTAATAAAGTTTTAAATGTGTTGAAATAATTTATCCCTCCTGACAGTAAAAAAGATTTGTTAATATAAATTGGAAATGATAAAGCTGTGATTATCCCATTTTTACCAATATTATTTTTCTGTTTTGATTTTTTTTAACAGATAAATGAACAGCCAAAGTTTGAAGCATTTTTAGCCATGTATATGTATTTTGTGATTTTCATTATTTTTGGATCTTTCTTCATGCTGAACCTTTTCATTGGAGTGGTTATCAGCAATTTTAACCAACAAAGGAAAAAGATAAGTACTACATGAGCTAATTTAGGAAAATAGGAATCCCCCTTTCCTCAAAGCTTTTAGTAATTTACCTGTAAATTCTATTTTCATACCAAGTCTTTAATTTGTTCTAAGTAGGAGGATGAGGAGGAAGGAGTGGGTAGTTTCAGAAAAAAGAAGTCAAAAAGAGTCATATAGACTTTTCTACAGGAGGGTGGGATTCTTTTCTACTGCTTTGAAGATTTACTTTGGAGAACAGAATAATCGTTTTTGCTTTTTTCATTTAAAAATGTGATAAGGGTAACCAAGAAACACTATGGCTTATGCGGTAAGTAAGCATTGTTTTCCTGGTAGAGACACTTGAAAAGATCTTCTTAATCCGAACTTCTTCTAGAACTAGCTACATTTATAAAATCCTGTCTTCAATAAAGTAACTCTACAGATTTGTTTACTGGGGTTTTTAAAAATTTCTGCATTGAGATCCAAGCCGTGGCCCCAGGAAGAGGCTGTCTAGACATTTAAAAGTTTCTTAAAGTTCATGGAGCACTGACTGCGTCCAGTTCTCTCTTCATAGTTGTTAGATTCCCTGTTCTTTTTATTCAGTAAGAAATAGAAGGCAAAATCTTAGAATAGAAAATGCAACAACCAAAGAAAAGCAACAGTCAACCTTCCCTGGTGTACTTCAACCACTTTGTGCCAAGCTTCTTCATCAATTGAGTTCTCTCCCTGATTCATTTAGGGGCTTCAATTATCCAGAATATCAAGGGAAGTTGAGTCAGTTAGTCCACTTGGAAGTCTTGAAACAAATAAGCATTAAAAAAATACAACAAAAGCAGACCCCAACAGGAGCTGTACAATTTCAAAGTTCATAATTGGAAGACAGAATTTCTACAGGAGCAATTTATTATTTGCATAGACTGACTTGTACACCAAATCTTAAAGATTTACTGCCTTTGATAGAGATAGAAGGCAATAAGGCCTGCAAGAAACTCTTCTGCTCTCTGCGTTTGAACAGAGAAAGGATATGTAGGGGCTGAGGAACAACAGTCCAACCTCACTATAATAATTTCCTTTTATAACAAAGTCCCAGTTATAATAATTCCAACAGACAGGAACAAAGCTGGTGAAGTAGCTTATGAGCCTGAACGCTTTCTAGATGTTGATGTGGGCATAACACTTTTTTGTTGTGTCAGTACATGCCGTAAGACAGCATTTTTTCCTTTTTCATTTTTTTGCTACTTCCTGGGGATTTTCATGGACATCCCACATAATGAAGTGAAATTGAACTTTCAGAGGCCTTGCCAGAGTGCTTCAAAGTGCACATGCCCTACTGAACATTGTTACATGTTTGTTTTACAAAATGCTAATCATTCCATGCTTTTCTGATGAGGGGCTTCTCCTGAATACTCGGTTCAAAGTGATTGCTAAGCAATACAGGTGGCATAGATGGTAACGAGTACCAGAAATTCATTATCAGGAACCTCCCCATAGAACTTGGTCCCCAAGTGCTTATTCATAATCCTCCATTTACTTACTAGCCCAGCAATATACTTCTGTTCCTACCTTTCCCAAAAGTATAAATGGAAAGTATTTTACTTGTTGATGAGTCTTATGTAATTTTTAAAATATGAAATTGATTTATGAAGCTTCAGAAAGGCTCTCACATTTGAGGAAACTGACTCGGGAACACTGCCTAGACTAGACTTTCATGACCAAACTCTGCTTTTTGCAGTACAGCTTTTCAAAGAACCAGGGGAAAAGAAGAGATGGTGATGACACATTTTGTCTTTGTGCTCTTAGATCCCACTCATGACACCTGTAACTTACTTCTTTTTACACAAACTTGCTGGTATTTATTTAGTTGACTGCTTAAACTTCAGCTGAACAACAGTATTCTTTCTCTTTACTTAGGTGGAAAAGATCTATTTTTGACTGAGGAACAGAAAAAGTACTATAACGCCCTAAAAAAACTTGGATCCAAGAAACCTCAGAAACCCATCCCAAGACCATTGGTGAGACCATCTTAAATAAAATATGATGGAAGATATAAGGATGGTGACCATATTTAAACTCAGTAGCCAGGCATCTGGAAATAAACTTCACGTTAGATCCCATTATCTTCCTCATTCAATACAGTATTTACATTTTACTGTCTTTTTCTTAATTCTGCCTAATGCAGTCTTTCTTTGTGGGTATTAATTTAAGGAAATTTACAGCCTATTTATCACCTATTCAGATGTGCAACCTATTTATAAAGGTTCATATTAAGTATTTACTGTTCACAACATGATCTTGGTTACTTGCATGATATTGTTTCTGCAACTAGATTGGATTATAGCAGGTGATAATGAATAGGGGACAGTACATGTCCCACGGCTGTTATTTACTCTTAAACAATCTTAGGCTTTATTTCTTGCAGTTTCTTAAATTTCATTCCAGGCATGGCTTCATATAGTAACTATACAGGGTTTTTCTTGCTTATGACATTTTAATTAGAATTGCTTATCCTAAGGTGTCTGCTCCAATAAGTATTTCTATTAAAAGACCAATCAGAATGTACTCTGAATCTTTTCCTGCGGTATAATTTTTTTCTAATGAAGTGTGGTTGCATGATACCTGAAAATACTTAGCCAAGTACTGAGTGTTTTCTTTCAAAGTCTAAAGAAATCACCTAAAAATGCTTCTAGTAACTTATTGTTAAAATTATATTCTCTTAAATACTGTTTCTAAGCACAAAATGCTGATTAATATTTGAATATAGTCTGGGTCTTACAGGCAGCATTAAGCAGTTTTTCTCATTCTCTCCACAGAACGCGTTCCAAGGACTACTGTTTGATATAGTATCACACAAAGCATTTGACATTACTGTTTTGGTTTTCATCTGTCTAAATATGGTCGTTATGATGGCAGAAAACAGCCAGAACGGCATCAAGGATATTCTTAATAAAATCAACTATTTTTTTGTGGCAGTATTTACTGGGGAATGTGTCCTAAAAATACTAGCCCTAAGACATTACTTCTTCACCAGTGGCTGGAACGTATTTGATTTAGCCATTGTGGTCGTTTCTCTAGTTAGTAAGTATCAACTGATATTAGATCGTGTAATGTGTCTTACCAATACTAAGCCAAATTTCAGTATGAAGTAACTACTTACATATATCTGATAAACAAATTCTGGATCCATTGTACTTTTTCAAACTGTCTGCTATGTGATTCTTTCTAAAAAGATCTATTTTTGTTTTCCCTTATATTTTTGCAGAGTAGTAAGAGGTAAATGGTTAGTTTTCAAATTTTTTTATGTATGAGTTTTATTGAGTAATTAACAGAATAGGAATTTAATGCAATAACATCTTGTCTAAGTTATTGTACTTAAACTGTTGTCTTAATGTTTTTCTGCTTTCAATGTACGTGTAACCACATTAACTGTTATTTTCATGGTAAAAGTAAATTTGGGTTAAAAATACATTTATATGAAAAATGGGAAAGATTTATTTCATTTTCCAAGACTTTGTTTTAAGAAAGGAGATCCTGAGGGCTGATTTAGAAAGCTCAAGAGAATTTAATTTCTCAGCACCATTCTAAATCTGGGCCACTATTTGTGACTGTGAGAAGTCTTATTAAGAATGGCTTGGTTTTGTTTTGCTTTTCAAATAAGGCTAGATGCTTCTTGTTTCCTCTACAAAGGCTCATATATAGCTCTAGTTTCTTGTACAGTGTATTTGGTCTGTGCTTCCTGCTCAGGCTCAGGTTATATTATAGAATAAAGGACAGGAAAAAAACCCTGATCTGAGTTCTCTGCTTCGTCCCTGTGCACAGGGATGCTACCCCATGGAATACAGAAAAAAGCTGACTTCTTAAGTCTTCCGTTTGTAATCATTTACATTACTACTGTATCACTGAAGGTATTCATTACTCTGGTAGTAGGATCATAGAATGAGGTGTGATGGAGGACGAATACTGAAAGACAGTTTTCCTTTAATTTTTTCTTGCTCTTCTCTGATCTCATTCACGTACCAAGCGTTGATGGAAGTCTCACACTTAGCATGTGGCTTAGGCCTGTAGAAGAAGCAGCAACCAGATAGCAGCCAGGAGACAAGCCCCATAGCTTCCAGCACAGGAGCTGAATGGATTTAAAAGGATTTGTTAAGTACTTGAGCAATGCGTAATTTCATCCCCTGAACTGGAAAAATCTCAGAGAATGCAGTTTCTAAACTATGCACCATCTTGATACCTCCTTAATATTTAAAGATATTACAATTTGTCTTTCTTTTCCTTAGCTCTTTTGTAAGCAATTGCAGTATTGATGATAATGTTTTTGTTGAAAGTGGTGTAATATTATCAATGTTACTTTCAACACCTGAAGCATAGAGTGTAACAAAATGGACATAAATAGGGAATTTCACTGATATGGCTTGACAACATTTTGTTTTCTTTTGCATTTCAAAGGTATTGGACTTTCTGAAGGATTTAAAGCTGTGTTCTCTCCTACACTTCTGAGAATTTTTCGTTTGACACGAATTGGCCGAATCCTGAGATTAATTCGAAGAGCCAGAGGAATTCGAACGCTTCTTTTTGCATTACTGATGTCTCTTCCTGCACTGTTCAACATTGGTCTTTTGCTTTTTCTGGTTATGTTCATTTATGCCATTGTGGGCATGACAAATTTTGCCTGTGTTGGCTGGGAAGGGGGGATTAATAACCTTTTCAACTTTCAAACCTTTGACAGTAGCATTCTCTGTCTTTTCCAAATTACAACATCAGCTGGCTGGGATGGTCTTTTGCTCCCTATGTTAAAAGGACCGGATTCATGTGCTCCCAACTTAAATTTAACAGCTGAACAAAAACAAAATTGCACAAGTAAGACAACTGGTATTTTATTTTTTGTAAGCTATGTCATTATATCATTTCTCATTGTTGTAAATATGTACATAGCTGTCATTTTAGAGAACTTTGGTGTTGCCACTGAAGAAAGCACAGATCCTCTTTGCGAGGATGACTTTGATATGTTTTATGAGACCTGGGGAAATTTTGATCCTCAGGCAACACAGTTTATTGAATATTCTGCTCTTTCAGACTTTGCAGATGCTCTGGCAGAACCCTTACGTATTCCAAAGCCTAATAAATTTGAGCTCATATCAATGGACCTCCCTATAGTTAGTGGAGATAAGATCCACTGCTTGGATATCTTGCTTGCTTTCACTAAAAGGGTCTTAGGAGAATCTGTGGATTTGGGTGGTCTTGAATTACACATGGAAGAAAGATTTATGGCTGCCAATCAAACTAAAGTTTCTTACAAGCCAATTACTACTACCCTTAAAAGAAAACAGGAGGAAATGTCGGCTCTCGTTATTCAAAGGGCTTTCAGGAGGTATTTGATACAGCGTTCCTTTTAAAACTAAATCTTTCTTATACCATCATAAGCATTCTAACAGTGCTGTCTTTGAAGAAGAAACACAGGAGAAGGAAAGGCTTATTGCATCAATGCTTAACGAAAATGATGGTAGGAAGATAGATAAATCACAGACTACATCTTCATAGAATGATAGAATGCTTTGGGTTGGAAGGGACTTTTAGAGGTCATATAGTCCAACCCACCTGCAGTGAGCAGGGGCATCTTCAACTTGACCAGGTTGCTCAGAGCTCTGTCCAACCCGGCCTTGAATGTTTCCAGGGATGGGGCATCTGCCACCTCTGTGGACAACCCGTTCCAGTGTTTCACCACCCTCACGGTAAAAAATTCCTTCCTTATATCCAGTCTAAATCTACCCTCCCTTAGTTTAAAGCCATCGCTCCTTGTCCTGTGACAACAGGCCTTGCTAAAAATATTTTCCCTGTCTTTCCTATAGGCCTCCTGCAGGTACTGGCAGGCTGCTCTAAGCTCTCCCTGGAGTTTTCTCCAGGCTGAACAGCCCCAGCTCTCTCAGCCTTTCCTCGTAGGAGAGGTGCTTTATTTTATGATGGTATTACTGAAACAGATAGTGATAATGTGGACACATAAGGTTGCCTCAGGCTGCAGCATTTTTTATTAAACCAGTTATCAGTTATTTTCAGATAGATAGAGAAAATATTTTGATCCCAGAGCGTAATACTCAGAATTTAGAATAGTGATGGCAGCCTTAAAGTATCGTGATTGTTCAATTTTGCAAATGCTCCTTAAAACAATTGAGATTTGCACAACTATGTCATAAATATTAGAGAAATATCAAACCATGGAATTTTTATCCTTAGCTATTGGAGTAGGCAAGTTAATTTTTACACCTTTTATATTTTGAATTACTTCATTTTTCTGTGTTTACAGAAGATACCGGTAGAAGATCAGTTGTAACTGTGATATGATTTGTAAGCACACAAGGCTGTAGAACAATGTGTATAGCTTTAGAGAGAAAGCCTGTTTTGAAAAATTGGTTATTGCAGCAAAACTGAATATTTACTGCATTTTCTGTGAAAGAGTTCACTCAAGACACTTGAGTGTAATCAGCTACTAATTTCTGTGTTGTTTGGGACCATCTTCATCCTGGTGCCCTTGGATGGATGTGTTTACGCTTAAGACTTTTTGAGGTGTCTTTACACGTGCACCTAAATGGATTTAATATACCATCCTCAGGTGTCTGTGCTTGAAAGTTGTACATAATTTGTTCTTTGTATCATTCAGTGTATGAAAATTGTGATAATAATAGTTACCAAAATCAAAGGATGTTATGCAAGAGGTATTGTTTCCAGAAAATCTGAAGAATTATTGTACGTAAAATTTCATCATTACACTTCATCCAGATGTCATAGAAAATATTACTTAGTAGTCTGAAAAGGAGTTCGTGGTATATCTTACGAGATAACCTTTATTGAAGTTAGAGGAAGTATTTATTTTGTTTGTTCTGAAAAATCATATATGAACAACAGGTATTACTAATACTTTTACTGTTTTTTTGCAGTTTAGGTTGGTCAGGTGAAATGTCATGGTGGCCACAGAACTACTAATGAAACAGGACTATTTTAGATTCTTCAATAAAGACTTGAGATGCTGAACGTGTTTTTGTCTGTTTTATAAGAGGTATCTTTGGTTCCAGTTTGGTACGAGACATAATCTGTTATTAGAGAGGTAGAACCACAGTGATTTTCCAAAGATAGCTACTTGTTAGCACAAGAAAACTGAAAATGTTTTACTTTTTAAGGGAATTGGAAAAAATTTAGCATTTTCAGGGCAAGAACAGCAGGAACAAGGTAATTACTCAGTTTTTACTGTCGTTACCCTTGTTAAGTACTGTTAAAATACAACAGATACAGGCAAGTCTGGCTATTTGAACAACAAATAAAGGCACATGAAAGCTGAGAGTTAAGAGTTCAGATACAGCGAGGTTTGAACTAATTTTCTTACATCTAGAACCCGCTTCTGTTCAGAAAAACAGCTGAGGGAGAAGGTCCGCAGACCTCTTAGAACAGCTCAGCAGTTTGCGCTCCGTGTCAGCAGCTCCGGGAGCAGGATGCAGAGAGGCTTGGTGGGTCTGCTGGAGCCCTGCTTCAGGCTGGCCTGGACAGCTCTTGTGCCTGCGGTGCGCAGTGATGCTTTTCAGGTGAAACTATTTATTCTGTGCGGTGTCAGCTGGAACCAGCGACAGCTTTTGGTCAACGACCAGATGCCATTAGATGGCAGCATTTACTGCGGTTTAGAATATAGCCAGTCTTAAGTGAAATAGATGTCGAACTCCTACACTCCAGCACGGAGGTATTATATTAATTGTAAATAACTACAGAAAATAATGTCAGAACTCTATTTTTTTCTTCCCTGGGCTCTCAAGGTAGCCGCAGTTCTCAGTGGGTGCTTGTTCGCTTACTGTTTTTCACATATGACAGGTTGACAGAACTTAATGATGGTGGGGGAAAAAAAAATGTTCTTTGATCAAAAAATGTGCTTGGATCTTCCAGGGGGTAGTTTCAATGTGATACCTTGATATAGCACCGTAGCCTGAGATGTTTGTTATGAAAGAGGTAAGAGTGCTTTGTTTTTGCGTATTAGAAAAGAAGGAAAGACTGGAAAAGACATATGAGAGAATTTTGAACACTAATAACATGTAACAAAATGCTGATTTTTTTTTTTTTTTAGAATTAATCTGATCTTTAAAATAGTGTTGTTTGAATGCAACAGCAGATGTTGTGCCCTGGTTCAGAATTCGAAATACCTTGCCATTGTAGGGACACCAATTTTGGACAAAACCACACCTGGCAAGAACACATCCTTAGTGATTGTTTTACCCCAGAAGCATACAGAAGCACCTGAATTCATTGCAGCGCAAATTTGAAAGCCTGACCAATTTTTTATTATTGCTTGAGCATTAAATTAGCCTTAGCACACAGTTTCAGGGTTGACAGAATGGTGATACCCAGCTGTGGCAGCTTCTTCATGCTAGAATTGCCCAAAAGCTAATTCAGCTGCAGAGACAGCACAGGGTTGCTTTAAGCAGACTTCATATGGTGATGAGTTAATGGCAGTGAGCAGGTGGGAGTTTTTGATAATTCTGGGATCTGGAACTGTGAATTCCTCCAGTAAAACTGCCTGGATGTATGGATCTTCATGAGAAGTGGTCAGGCATGCTTGGAACAGTGGAATAATACTCCTTTCTGTTTATGAAATTTGATACTTAAATCAGAAAGCAGCAAAACAAAAGGATTGGTGGATCCCTCCAGTTGGGAATCACTGTGCATGTAAAGCTGCTGGTGAATTCCTGAGGACCCGCAGTACGATACACAGCAACATTGCCTCCTTAGTGGTGGGGCAGATCTCCACTAGTACATTTCTATTTATCACTTTCTTGTGTAGAAATAGTTAGCAACTGACCACCAGCAACTAAGAGGTTTTTCATGCGTTTGTGATAGCCCTGTGAACAGGCTCCGTAAAGGTTTTGTGGAAACTGTCCTTTTTCTTTCTGGAGCTCTTCAGTTCCCGCTAACCTTGCAATATTTGCGCTATCCATAGTGTTTCTTCAGGACTCATATGTAGTTATTAGAAATGTACCAGAAAGAGCATTTCATCACAGCGTCTTTTCCCTGAACTCACCAAAGATTGTTGTATCTGACAAGTGTGTCCTCTGCAATGTCACTTTCCAAAGCCATCAGTGAGGTGAACATTCTGTCTCAACTTGAGAGCTGAGACCACAGAGGTCCCTTGCAACCCCTATTACAGAATCACAGAATCACAGAATAGATTATTCTGTGATTCTGTGATTCTGTAACTTATGACTTGCCAAAATATGCGTTTCTAACTCATATTTAGAGTGAATGTTCCCGTAAGAATAGCAGACTCAATGTCCGTAGCAGTTTTAGGCCGAGGTCAGGATTATTACTAGAAATGCTGGAGGAAAGGTCTATCATATTATGCTGAAACTGAGTAGAACAATTTTTTCAATATTTAGGAAAAAAGTTACAAATATGGAGGAATTCTTTTTACATAGTATTGTTAACCACCACCAGCTAATGGCAAGTCTGACGTAGACTTGCGTCAGCAGACTTTACAGGCTTACTTTCTGAAGTGTCTGTCTCACCTGCCAAGGAAATGTTCTGGCAGTTGCTTCACAGAGATGAACTATGAAATGGACCTGGTGTGTGCAGAGCTACACATCTCATTTGCTCCTCAGAGCATGGATTGCCTTCAGCACCAACACCCTAGACCCTATCCCAGAACATCTGCTGATCAGTAATGCCCATTCCAGCTATCGGTCGCCTCCTGCTTTGGAGTTGCTTTGGAGATACCTTGGAGCACTGAACAGAACCACAGAATCACAGAATGGTAGGGGTTGGAAGGGACCTCTGTCGGTCATCTAGTCCAACCCTCCTGCCGAAG